ACTATTCTAGAATCCAAAACAACAGGGCCTCAAATTTAATCAAATTTACTTAAATGTCAGCAGTCAATTTAGGTCACAGTGGTATACACTTCCCTAGTATTATTGACACCAAAAGTTTTATCACATGGAAACTGAAGTTTTCGAATCATCTTAGGTGGAAACAAATGCTCTGTAAACTTCACAACACCGCTGATTTTCACCCGTCTACTGATATTAAAGACAACTATAAAAAGTAATAATAAAAAATGACTTTCCCAGCCGGTTCACTGTAAAAATGGCACCTTGGTAGCATAAAGTAACTAAATCGATATTATTGGATACAAAGATATCTTGAGACATCATGTTCTCACCTGTATTTTGGATAAAATGTCCAAAACAGAGTGTTGATCAGGTACTTTCCCTATTTAAGCACAGGTCACTGATAATTACCATGCTTTATGTATGAATTTATTTTCATTCATGTACACAAGTGGTTAGACTATGTAAATAGCATTTCTCGAAACTCCAGTCTGTGTCAGTAGGCGTGGTATGCACCAAAAAGGGGGGGGAAATAAAGGATATTTCTATATTTACCATAAAGAATCCCAATTGTTTCCATGTCTTAGACGTGTAATAGAATGTGCATGTATTGAGTTTGGTCACTTCTATCGACTTCGTGATGTAAGGGTATCAGTGAATCAATGAGCAACGAAACGTGAATTTAATTTCAGCGATTTCAATAAGATTTCTCTGTTCATCAAAATAAAATGACAGAAGACACAGTGACAAGTAATTCTGTGCTCAGAATTTCGACGAATTTGAAAAATAAAATCGATATCCTACTGGAAACCCAATTAAAATTTTTGAGCGTTTTTGCTAAAATTTCATTTTTTTTTGTAACATATCACTGCTGATCATCAGACCTTGAGTTTTTTTCTCACTGGTTATCATTGAAATTCACCCGCATTTAAAAATAATAAAAAGGGAATGAATGTAAAGGAAAAACTTGGGCACTGGTAGAATACAATTCCATATTATATTGTTTATTTGATGTGGATATGAGCAATAAATTCTGCTCGAAACATCATCAAGTAAAAGGAATGAAAAGAGATCCCTATAGATTCAGCTATGCCACTACAGGACACAGCACTGTTTCCAGTTTATCTACTTTTGTTAGAAGTATGTCTGGTCCTTTGAAAAAAGTTACAAAACATTTCGGGCAATGTTTTGGTATTGCACGAGACTGTCTAAATACATTTTATTACTACTACAATGTCACCTATTTTCGGTCATTAAATGTTACATGGAATCATATGCTTAGTTGTGCCTTGAAAACTGTAGATGATCCCAATATAAGATGACAGTTTTAATAAATTTCACAACGTTTCTAGATTTCGTCTAATACTGAACACTTGGAAACTTCTGGATCGAATCGACCTTCTATTTTATAAATTGAGAAAAGTCAATTAACTCTAATGATCTTCTAGCAACTACCAAAATGACCGATTAAATCCCCTCGTTTTGTGAAACAATTAACTTTGTAACCAAAATGATGAAACTTCATTGATCTTTAAATGTTTGGTGAAGCGTTTTTTCGATTCACTTAAAAATTTAATTTGTGCTTTCCTTTTGTGTTATCTGAGAGCAACGGTGATGAAAATTATTGGCTGCTTGGTTACCATTCTGTTTGAAATGGACAATTACTAACACTCCTTTATAACATTCCAGTTAACTGTATGACACAAAAATATATCATATAGAGAAGTCTCCATAAACAATGTTAGGGCGATTTTTGAAAACAAGCAGATATGTAGAATTATTTCACACATAGTTGCCATCTCAGTTTGGGAAGCAAATATACACAATCACATTTTCTTTATCACAATGGAATTTTATAAATAATAATTAAACATTAAAATGCTTCTGAGAAATCTGAAATATAAGCCCCACTACGGACTGATAAAGATGATCCCGTTTCTTATGCAAATCAGTGGTTATCCACGAAAACTGTAGACACTTCCTAGAAGCGCATGGCCAGTTTCAAGTATTCGGAATTTCAAAGGCAGTTTCTTTAGTCCTTTCATTTTGCAACAAAATTTTCGCAAGAAAAAAACATATTCTCTCATTAAACGTCGTTAGCACCTAAACGGCTTTTATGATATTCAGCTGTTGGTAGCCAATTTTTGCAATGATTGCTTTGGTACATCGTTGAATGAAACAATGCATAAATCATACCATACGTCTTTCGTGATGCGAACACAAATCAAATCAGCTAAAAGAAATTAAGAATACAACAAAAATCTCACAAAACCTGACGTCTATTGGTAAATAATATTAATGTGAAAGTAGAAAAAGTTATCTTTGAACAAAGTTTATTACGCAGTCCATAGTTGGCTGTTACATGAATGTTCTCAAGCTGGTCGAACTGTCGCTTAAGATATTAAATTACAAATCGGTCTCAAAACCAATTTCTTCCAGTGAAACAGTAAAACAGTACAGTGTGTTGAAGGCACTACCACCAAAGCAGTATGTATTATCCACACGTTGAATCATTGTAAACTAGACGTAATATTGTTTTTAAAAGAAGGAGACTGTTATCTTTGACAATATGTTACTTATCTTTCGGTTTATTGCAGCTTCGTTTACCATTTATATTTAGTCACGTGTTCTCTGAAAATAGTCCAATTTCAAGCCATCATTCCTTGATGTGTTGATTGACATAGATGCTAGTAACGACGATCGACAAAACATTTTTAGAAAGTTCTGTATTTATTCAGTGATATTCTCAAAGTTATATTCTCTTACTGTTTAATACAGACTTCATTGTATGGAGCTATAAATTACTTATTGTTTCCCTTATAAATATCTAATTTTATCTCCGGTAAACAGCTCACTATCGAAGTAAATCAGGTCAAGCTAAGAAAACTCATGGTCAAATCTTTATCAAATTTTCGCAATTTACAAAAACAATGAGAGATTATACGAATGGAACTTGGCCTTGAGATGGATATTAAGTCAGGAGTTTTAGTCTATGATAAAATAAACAAGCAATAATAATGACTACATGCCAAACTTCTGAATACCTCTTCAATCAACAAAATGATATCCTGTAGCACCATACTAGACACTTAAATGTATCTGTCCAAAAAACAAAATTCAATAGGTTGAATTTTAAATTTAATGGGCATCAAACTCACGGGTGTAAAAAGAAAATCTTCGACTTAAAACAGAATGTCCCATTCCCTCAGAACTGATAACAGAAAATGCAGAATTACATCTAGTGTTGGTGTCATCAAAACATACATTAGAATCCAGAGGTTATTAGGAAGTTCAGTGAAAAGCAAAACTCCTATCTTCATTCCAAAATCTAAATGACTTGTCACGAGCCAACTTGCCGTCAGTTCCCAGTCGTTCGCTGTTAAAAACTTTTTCAGTCCCATTAATGAAGTTACTGAGGAATTCTCTGTTTCTACA